AGTGTATGCTGTGGCTCTTTCCCTTTCGACTTTGATCGCCGAAAACACATTTTGCTAGTCCACGCTGTAGGCCGGCCCTTTTCGTTTCATCAGCAGAGGCATGCCGCCACTTTGTTAAGCGATTGTTTGGCCCCTCTGATGCTTTTACCGAAAAAAATCTTGTCAGTCTATGCTGCCCATTCTTGTTTCAGCACAACATGGTAGACCATGTTTTAAAGCCATTCTCTGGCACCTTTTTCTGTCTTCTTTCACAAAAAAGGGAGACAAATCGCAAGCCTTGGTACCGAAGACTGTTGGTGGCAATTCTGATCCAACAGAAAAGGAGGTAAACCAAACTTGATAGGGACCAGGGCTTGCAATTTGTCTTTTTTGCAGGAAACTCAGGCTAAAAATCTGACCGATTAGGTTTCGCGATTTGTCTCCTAAGTCCTCGGAGAGCCCGGACCAGAGCAAGGGGGCAAGGCAAAGCAAGATGAGGGGGATACTCCTGGCACCAAACAAGATGTGGGGGACATTCCTTGTGATTGAAGGTTTTCCAAAGCACCATCGCCAGGAAAAATTGAAAGGATGAGGGGGGCATTCCTTGCGATGGAAGGTCATCAGCGCCTTAAAAAGATGATCGGGACGCTCTTTGTTGCGAGTCAAGGTTTTCTAGAGCATCATCGCCAGGAAACATGAAGAGGACAATCCTTTTGAGCGAAGGTTTTCTAGAGCAAGATGAGTGGATGAGGGGGACACTCCTTGCAATTGAAGGTTTCCAGAGCACCCTAACCCAAAGAGACAACTTGCAAACCCCAGTCTTTTATTTTTTGGGTTTAAGCTCCTCTTCAAGGAGACACATCGCACGACTTGTGGGCCCGCGGTTCGTCCTTTTACGGTAAGTCTTTGGAGAACCCGGGCTAGAGCAGGGGGGCAGGCCAAAGCAGGATGAGGGTGATACTCCCTGCACCAGACAAGATGTGCGGGGCATTCCTTGTGATTGAAGGTCTTCCAATGCATCATCGCCAGAAAAGCTGAATGGAGTGCAATTGAAGGTTTTCCAGAGCACACCCAAAGATAGCCCTCGTCTTTCACATTCAGAGAAGCCTGGCATATGTAAACACACAGTTCCAGCTTCCAAATAGACTCAATAGACTCTACTTACGCCGGCCAGCAGGGGGAGGGGGCATCGCGCGCGGGGCGCGCCGGCTCGAGTGCGCATGCGAGTGAGTCGCCCGCAGTGCGCGATGTGTTGTCTGTGGAATCCGAGACCTCGAAAGCTTTTTCTGTAGCGACGGCGTCCGGTGAGGATAGCGGTTGAGCGCAGCTTGAAGCTCTCGCGGTCGCGAGGAGCTCCCTGCCGCCGTTGCGTCCGTGGGCGCAAGCAGCAGCGAGAGCTCCGGAGAGGCCCCTTTTTCCAGGCTCGCGGCCCCATAGAATTTGAACTCACGAGCTCTAGAGCCAGGACGAGGACGAGGCTTTGCCGCGTGCAGTGGTGATGTCACTGAACAGCTTCCTCCAACGAGAGCTTCTGCAAGCGACTCACTTGCTTCGAAGCGTCCGGCAGAGCCTCGAGGAGGGGAAAGTAAAGGGCTTTCATTGAGAGAGTTAAATCGACTGGAGAATTTCTGCAGGATCTCATCGCCCACTTGGAAGGCCTCGGCTCGAGATGGGCATGCTGGGGGGCAGGGGCCCTTTGTTCCTGTTGAGGTGAGTCCTTCTCAGATGATCTGGAGGTGCGGAAACTTGTAGTGTTGGAAACGGTTGAGAAGAAGTGACAGTGACAGTGAGCCCCTGCAGGCCATGTTGGAAACGCTTTTGGCGGGCTCGGTGCCCGAGTCCTGGAGCTTGGGACTGGTGGCCCCTCGCCGAGCCCTGGGCTCCTGGACAGAGGAGAGAAAGCCCCCGCCCCCGCCGAAGTCCCGTGTGTGTCCCGTGCAAGTTCAGCTGCACTTCGGAAGGACGTCGCCCGGCGCGTGGGAGCGCTGCGGGCCTGGGAGCTCAGCCGAAAGGCTCTCAGGGTCGCTGCTGGACTCCTTTAGCGTCCCGAGAAGTGTTTGCGGCATCAGCATGCGGGGCGTCTTAAGGTCTTAAGGCTTTGTGCACGCCTTTGGCAGGCCCCGTGTTGCTTCTACCTGTCCGACTTCTTGAATCCGCAAGGCCAGGGAACTCTGCAGCGCTCCAGACTCCAGACTTTTGGGCCAAGCGGCCGACAATTCCTGAGAAGGCTTCCTCATCGCGACGCTCCAAGGCACTGCTCGATTGCGGCGATCCTCTGTGGAGAGGACCTGCATCCGATTCTGGGCTCAGCATGGCCGCATGGCCGCGCATGGCCGCATGGAGGATGCACTTCCAACATCGAGTGGAGCATCTGCTTTCCAATGCAGAAGAGGCGCCAAAGTGCGAGTGCGCGGCGTGGACGCGAAGTGCAGCAGCTCACGCGAGTGAGAGTGAGGCGAGTGAGAGTGAGAGTGAACCGAGGGGCAGAGGCCGAGCCGTCGCGTCGCCGAAAGGACGCGCTCCGTTCGCCTCCGTACTCGCTTTGCGGCTCTGGCTCTGCTCTGCTTCCCGGGGGCCTCTCGGCCTCTCAGATGCCATTGCGGAGCCTCCCCCTTGTCTCCTCTCGCGTCTTCCTCTCCGATTACACCTGAGTGTTGGGAGCAAAAGGAAAGGATGACTGGATGACCGGAAGACTTCCTTAACACAAAAAGAGCTGTGCAGGTCCGGCAGCAGTTGAAGGCGCAGCCATGGAGCGAGAGTAGCGAGAGCATAGCGAGTGGCAGGAATTCTGTGGGTCTCAGGCTGATCATGCTCTGCTCGATGCGTCTTTCGAAGGCCGAATCTTGTGAATCGTTTTTGGGGACGCGTTGTCGTGGCGTGGTCAGAGGTGTCTTCCTGGCAGGGCTGGGCCCTCAGAGAGTTTCGGAGGGGCCGGGGCCCCGTTTCGAAGCTCTCTTGGCCCTTTGGAGGCTCTGGCTCGAGGGCGCTTCCTGGAGCCGACGGAAAGGGATCTTGGAGGAGCGCACGCATAGAGCGCACGCATGAGCACGCCCCCCCTTTCTTGGATCCGCCAGCCGCCCCGCGCTCTTCGCTTCGCAGGAGAAGGACTTGCACTCGCGCCAGCGCTGGTCGGCCCTGCCGGCCGGACCCTTCACCCGAAAGCGTAATGCACACGGAAACTGCTTCTACTCTTCTGTGCCGTTCAGGTCCTCCGATTTAACCCCGTTGATGGCCCAGCGCAGGACTCTCTCCACATTTGCCCACAGGGATCGGAGTAGGAGTGGGACGCATCCAATTCAGGAGCCCTTGCCTCCACCTCGCGAATCCACACGTGGGCCATCGAAAGGTGCGCGGGTCCGGTTCGGAGAGTCGGAGAGTTCGACGTATGTGCCGTTATGTGCCGTGCCCGCCAGGGCCAGCACAGGTGTCAGGTCGAGTGCAGGAGGCCTGGGCCGCACGGGACGCAACCAGGTTCACAAGCGTGCCAGGCTTATCATCCACACTCCTAGGTAGATGCACCGTGGCCGGCGGATTGTGTGTGTGTGTGTGTGTGTGTGTCAATCCCTATTCCAGAAGGCTTTATGCAGCTTGAGTTTTTGTCAGTTTCCGTGAATGCAGGGAGTCTGGGGGTAACCGGCCAACGAAGACATCCCCAAACAAGGGGTGCAAACGTACCTGCTGCAGATTGCTGACGTGAGTGAGCGTGCAATGTTGATCCTCAGTGAGATGAAATACATATTCTGCACATTTGAGGCATCAAGTCTGAGGGCAGTCTCTCGACACACACTGATTTTCATTGACTTCGAGTGATCGAGTCTCAAGACCGATTTGAGGCCTGCGACACATTGTGTCGTGTGTGTGTGTGTGTGGGGGGAAACATGTGATTAAGCGATTGCAGTTGAAAAAAGCAAGCAGCAGGAGTTTGCATTGAGAGTCTCCTGCCAACGAAGTCGTCCTCACTACATAGTGATATAAAGCAGGAACGGCCTCTCCACATACCAGCGCTGTACCGAGTGGAAGCCGATTTCAGCATCAGTTGTCTTCAGTGATTGCCTTTTCAGTGATTCCATTTGTTTACCGCCAATGTGGCCTAACATCTTCGCCTCTGTAGACAAAGTCCAAGGAACATGTCCAATCCGAGGGAGGATTGCGCAGTTGTGTATCTAGACGGTTTTTCGTTCAATGTGCCGTCTACGGTATCAGTGGCTACTGCGTTGAACCCCGATCGGTTCCATTAGCTTGAACCCTGACCGGTTCACCCTCGACACAGCACAACCAAGATCCTGATCGATAAATTGTTAGGCAGGTTCCATGTGTCTGTGTTTCGCTCTACTGACGCGCATCGCAAACGTTCAGCATTGAGACCAGTTGCCAGGAACCGTGTTAACCTTAGGTGAAACATCCTCCGGTCGCTATACAAAGAACTGGAACAACAAGAACGCAAACCGTTGGTCGAGCCAATGGAATCATCAAAACTGGTCATCCTCAAGCTGGAGCACATGGCCTTCGGCACCCTCTGCATCAACTACAGCTCCGCGAGCTGCGCCGAAACCTTTTTTTCCTGCCTCATTTCAGTCTGATGACAAGTGTTGGGATCGCCAAGCACTGAGCAGACAAGGCCACCAGCTTTTCAACTAAGTTCAGCCTACTGTATGGAGCCGCAAGCAAAGCTTGACCGGAAGTTTCCAGTCCCAGCTAGACCGCTGCAACACCATCCGCTTCCGCGTTACCGATGATACCAAGCCATGCTGTTCGGCGATTTATACTCGTAGACCGCTGCAAACTGCATCATGATGCCGGCAGAGCGCTGATTCTCTCCTTTCTCTCGGTGCTCTCACTCTGGCTGCCGAATCCAATCAGAATATGGCAGTGCACACGAAGTCGTGTTGTGTTGTGAACTGTATTGATCGATGATTTTACTGCATGTGTTGGGGCAGCAGGTCACAGCAGGTCGAGGAGGGCTTTAGCTGTGTCACCGATGGGCAGTCACAGCGGAACTTTGTTCTGTCACAAATGTCACAAGTGCTCTTCCGCATGGTGAGGGCACGATCTTTAGCCTGTCTCGATTTCATAGCGTGTTGTTTAGCAACACCAGTTTGACAGTTTGACGGTCACGATCGAGGTGCCGTCCTTCTGGGTCTCGCAATCCTGGTTTTTTGTGTGAAACACATGAGAAAACCGAAGACGTGCGATGTGACTGTCCGTGCCGGGCCGTTAACCCTAAACGTAAACTCCTGTGTTGGACTTCGAGTAGTTCTTAAGGGTTTCAAGACTTGTTGGAGTACTTTGCTGATCTGCGGGGGACCCGGCATGCCGGAGGCTCTCCGGCGGCGGCATGCTGGGCAAGGGCTGCAAGGCTTGGGCCTGCAGAGAGGCCAGGGCCAGGGCGGCTCGGGAGCCAAGACGGCCATGAGCCTCCTCGCCGGCAAGGACGGACACAGAGAGATGGCATGAGCAGACCCTAAACTAAACCCTCTCTCTCTCTCTCGCTCTCTCTCTCTCTCTCTCTCACTGGCAGGAGAGGCAGCATGCTTCAGGGTCCAGGAGCCACCACTTCAGCTGCCCTCTCTTGCCACGAAGCCCTTTTCACTCTGGAGGCAAAGCGGCGCTTTTATGCATGCTTTTGCTGCCTGCTAGCGATGTCTGCTTTCGCCCAAGGTGCCGGTCTTTGGTCTTGCACGTGGCAGCCTCAAGATTCACTTCGTCTCGAGATGTCTCATACGCTACGCTCTTGGGTTTCTGAGGGTGCTGCCGCTTGACAATGTCGCACTGCCAATGGGAAGCTGCGAGTCACAGGACTCCTCCTCTGCACCCTCTCAGAAGTGCAAGCAGGCTCGAGGCATCGGCGCGATCGGCGTAGCGACGCGTGTTAACCTGGCAAGCCCTTGAAAGTGGTGCACGCCGAGCCCCTTGGAAAGCCAACCAGAGGCTGCCACGGCGGTGAAGGCTTCAGCTGTTAGGAACCTTTCTTAGCCCAGAGAAAGGGGCTTCCAAGCAGCTGCCCTTGCAAACTCGATATTTCTCTATGCAGGACTTGTGGCTCCTGCGAGGCCGATGGAATGCGAGCGCGAGCCTTTTGCGCCTCTGCTCTGCAGAGTCTGCTGTGCTCGCAGACACGGCGGTGGTCATCCACATCGAAGATTGACTCCCGCGGTCGGCGCGGTCCCGCCGTCGCCGGCAGCCGCGCCCCTTGTGTTTTCATGTTGAGGATTCGAGTTCAGCAGGCCGAAGTCGCCCGAACACAGGGCGGCCCGGCCCGGCCCGGCCCGGCCCGGCCCCGAGCCAAAACGGCCCAGGGACTGCGAGGCTGCGAGGAGTGCCTTTGTAGCCAAAGCCCAGGAAGATCAGGGAATCAAGGGCTCTCTTCGCCTGTGGCCTTGTACATACAACAGAGTCCTCAGAGGTGATGCGAAGGGCGTAAGCGATGGAACGAAAACCTTGCGCTGTCGTTGAGGGCAGCTTCTGCCCTGCTTTGGGATTGCACTCCTGCACTCCTCGCAGGACATGGGGCTCAGTTGTGCCGTCCTTTCCCTTTCAGATGGAGTCCTTGGGCGACCGCCAATCATGGCGAAAGTCCCTGGGCCTCACAGACTTGCAGCACGTATAAGGGAACCGCACGAGCGACTCCCAGCGACAGAACTCGAGTTCGAGGCGATTGAAGCACGTGGCCTCCTTGCACTTACGGCAGATCCCATGCCTCCATGCGGCATCTCGCCCGCAGCTGCAGCTGGGGAGACTAAACTAAACCGTGGGCAGCGGCTGGCAGGTCGTCAGATCTCTGCGATGCTTCAAGCGCAGCCGCTACCGGAGCTTGGGGCAGGAGCATCAGCGGAGCAGCAGAGCATAGCAGAGCATTGCAGAGATATGCAGAGCGATTTGCTTTCCTCAGGAGGACGGCGAGGAAGAAGTTCTGGACCAACAGCAACAGGTCAACTTCTCTTTCGGTCAGGCGGGCGCTGGCGTCTATGTCGTCTTTTCCAAGCCACACGCGATCGCGGTCCTTTCGCGGTCTGGGGCTCTCTTCGTAAAGAGAACTGGCTAGCACGACACCGCTGCGCACAGAACAGCGCTCCCCGAAAGCTGTGCATTGCTACTGCCGGCTAACCATGGCTAACCGGCTAACGCATGCAGCGCCATCCTGCGCGCAACTTCGTTGGAGCCCTTCGGGCCGCGCTCAGGAATCCTCCCGACTCTGGTCATTTTTTGCGGGAAAGCTTTTGGGGTGGGGAGCACAGGAAGGGCCACCCAAATTGGCGCAATTTCGAGTACGAATCTGTCAGGGAGAGCTTCCTCAGCCGACGGCTGGCCACAAACGGGGCTTTGCCAAGCTGGCCATCCCCAAACGAATTTCTTTGGCTCACAGCGCTGGCGTTTTGTCTGCGTAGATCGCCGAGAACGGGCTGTAAGGTTAAAGGCAGCGTTTGGCCACCAAGCCACGCAAACGAATCTTTCGTTGACAGCTGGCAGCCTTTGGTTTTAAGGCAGGCTTTGACCACCGAGCCATCCCAAATTGTTTGTTCAGGCTGACAAGCGGCCACAAACGCCGAAATGATGTCTTCAGCTGACGGCTGCCCGCCACTGTTGCTTTTGGATCAGCAAACCAATTGGAAACCTGCTACGGAGGAATTCATTTCCAAGGACTCAAGTGCTCGCATGTGGCGGTTGTCTTCTGAATGCCAGCTGAAGCAAGTCTTGTCGGGATGGTTTGGGCGTCAACGCCTCACACAGCACGGCCACCTGCAACCCGGCAACCAGTGCGGCTTCCCGGTGCGCGAGAGGTGCGTAGAAGTGAGGAAGGCACCTTTGGTCAGGCTGTCATGAAGCTGTCGCTGGTGTGCATGGTTGCAGTAACGGTCCTCTGTTCGGATCTGAAAAACCGTGCTGGAGCTTGGGGGCCCCAGGCTTTGGGGCCAGTGCCGCGCCTGAGGCCTCGTCCGATCTGGAGAGGAAGATCTGGACCTGAGAGCAGAGGGGTCCCAAGAGGCTTGGCATGGGCCAGACACGCCCACGCCCAGCACGCCCAGCACGCAATAAGGCCACAGAAGAGGAGTATGAACGGCTCCGATTCAAGGAGGACTCACCGCTGGTGCCCTCTCAGTGCAGGCGCTCCGTGTCTGCAAGCGAGTCTGAGTCAGGTGCTTTATCTGGCCACGGTGGAGATGCTCATTTGCGGGTCCTGCGCCGCAACTGCAGCTGCCATGTACTCACGCCAGGGGCACCATGGAGGCATAACGGGCAGAGACGCAGAGATGCTTCGATCTGATCCTCTGTCTTTAAGATCCCGAGGCATCAACTCAGGCACCCTGCAGAGCACGAGCACGAGCCCTCGCTTTTCACAAAGGCGGAAGGGGGGAAGGGGAGGGCCGGAGGGCCGGGAAGGGCCGGGGGCGGTTCCATGCAATGAAGGCTTCAATGAATCCTTCGCTCCTTCGCTCCTTCGCTCGCTTCGCCGGAGGTGGAGCTTCGTAAAGATCCCGGCTTCGAGGAGTGGGGGCGGCCGGACGGGCCCGGCGAGAGAGAGAGCGGTCTGCGGTTTCCTGCTCGGGAGGACTGCCAGCTCTATGGCGCGGACCCCGAAATCACTCCGGAGAGACTCAAGGTGACTAAAGCCCGCGAAATCTCTGTGAGGCCTTGGATTTCGTCCGAGTTTCTGAGCTCAGAAAAACCTTGGGCCCATGCTGCCTTGCACGGCGCTTGCGCTCCTGAGGCTCCGATGGTTTGGAGTGTCTGGTGGTGGAGGAGAGCCTGAGCGTCTTCGGCAGAGTTTTCCGCCATGAAAGAGCCAGCTTTTTCTCCGAGGACATTCGCAGGGACTCCTTGCTGGATCGCTGGAATCATCGCAGCCATGACCTGTCCCCAGAGGACGAATGAGACCAATGCCCAGAATGCCCCCGCTGCGATTCTCTGCCCTTGCAGGAACTTGTCGAGCAGGCCATGATCACATCACATGGGCCCTTCCCAGCCTCTCGGGTTTTCAGGGGGCTGCGACCTCCGAATCCTCGCCGACGCGAGGCCTTGGGTGAAGACGCCGCGGTCGCAGGCAAGTCGAAAACCCGCGAGCCCATCGCGGCGAGCCGCAGCCGTTGTAAAGTCCCTCTGTAGCACCTTCCATACATTCCATGGCCAGCCCACGGCCCAGCCCTGGCCCTGGCCCTGGCCCCCTCTCCTCATTTGGGCCCCGTGCAGGCGAGGCGGCCGCGGGCGTCGCCGCGTCGCCGTCGCCGAGGCCGTTTTGAGAGGGCCCGGGCTGCATCAAGCGCTTGGCGCTTGAGGGACGCGAGAAGTTTGGAGAAGCGGAGGGCGGGATCGCAGATGGTGCAGGCCGCCCGGCGCGCGGCCCCTCCCCAAGGCGCGCCCTTCCACCTCACCATCCGCTCCGCTCTCTGCCGCTCTCTGGAGGTGGCGCTGGGCTCTGCGATCGTGGCTGTGAACGACGTGTGACCCGGCATTCAGAGAGGGGTAGGACCGAGTTAACGAAGCACCCCCCGGCCCAGATCCGCTGTCGCGGGAACGGTTTCAGGTACGCCGACGTGGGCTTGATGCAGCAGCAGCTCTTCAAACCACAGGCCGAAGCCCCGAAGAAGCGGAGCCCACTCCGAGTCTCTCGCCGTAGGTAACTCTCTGGGTGCGACGAGAAGATGACGGCCTCCACCCAAGCGAGCTGGACGCAGGCGGCGACTTTTTTCAGCTGACTTGAGGGGAGCCCCACGCTTGCTACAGTCTACAGTGCACGCTTGGTGTTATGGGTCACTCGGGGTGCGCCGCTCGAGGTGTCTTCGGTGCGGAGGTCCCTCCTGTGGCGACTGCAGGTGTGCAGTGGCAGTGTGCGGAGCAGTGGAAGTCTCAGCGATCCAGCGGTGAGAGGTCCCGTTTCCACTCTGGGAGCCGTGGAGGAAGGCCTGCTCTGCAGATGGGACTCTCACAGACTCCAAAACACTTGAGCTCAGCTCTCTCTGTCTCTCAGCTCTCGCAGGGGCTCCGACGGGCGGGCGGCCTGCGGCTCCACGAGTGGCACGGGCCCCACGCTCACCCCACGCTTCTCACCTCCGAATCTCTCCCTCTCAAATCTTCAACAGAGGCTTGCCTCGCCATGGAGGCGCCTCGCACACGGGCGGGGGCCGGGGGTTGGCGGGCCTTTCCGGCTTGCGCTTCCGGAGGACGAAGAAGCACAGATCCTGATGCGCTGGACCGCCGTGGCCTCAAGGATCAGCGGCGATCAGCGTCCCGGTTGTCGCGGCTGGGCCTTTCAGGTCTGTGGCATCATGTTCGGATGGCCCGCGCCTGTGCTGCCCGGCTCCTCGCTGCCCAGCTCTCTGAGCCCCGTGTGGCTGTGAGGGTGACGCTGCTCCCGGTTCTTCTGATGCAGCCTCACGAAGAAAGGTGTGGTGCCGAGAGCTCCGCAGTTATGTAGCCATGCTTTGCTGTTGCTCTTCCGTCACCACCCGCAGCCAATTGCACATGCTTTGGTTGAGATGTGGGGAGATTGTGTGACGCAAAGCTTCGAACGCAGCTGCGGGGCAGCATACATGGCGGGCAAAGGTCCCCGGCCAAGACAGCAAGCCCCGGCAGCCCCAGCAGCGCACAGCGAGGTTGGATCGCAACCTCGTGAACAAAGGGCGGGTGGGCAAGGGGACAGGCCGGATGTATTCAACTTCAAAGCACCAGATGATCAACCAGACCCGAAATCTAATTCTACTTGCCGAAAGTTCGCCGTTCTCTCCAGCATCCCGTTCGGATTGTCTTGGGGCCAAAGGATTCCCACGCTGGGCACTGGATGTAACAGGTCGAACAGTACTTCCAAACGAAACGATAACAACACAACATCGAGAAAATGCGACCCCAGACGCTTGCTTGCATGTTGGCTCCCTTGTACAAATCGGATTCGCGGCGTTTCAGTGCCATGGTTCCACAGCTCCCCCAAATCCTGCAGACTTAAATACAGAGCCTGCCCCGCTCCAGGTCGGTGTTGGGCACGGATCTTCCTATCATCACCGCCCCGAGAGGGTCACTGAGTGGACCCGGAGCTCAAGCAAACTCGGGGCCACAAGCAACACAAGCTTCGTCTTTCTCGGATTCGTGGGCTCCGGGAATCTTGAAACATGTTGCCGATGAGTTTGTTTCTGTGCCGGGGTTTGATCGGATTCCTTTGACTACGAGGCGCATGTTAAACGGGGTCACTGGCCACCGTACCGCGGGTGCCCACACTGTGTACTCGGACAGGCGTGTCAGCGCCCGCATCGAAGGGTCCGTATTCCTGAAGCATTTAGTCTAAGCTTGGATTTGGCAGGGCCCTACGGTAAAGGTGTTGGTGACATATCGCTTCGAAGGCATTTCGCTTTGGTCGGAGTTTATGTGTTGCCTCTGGATCGGTTTGGTGGACCTCTCTTGTCTGAAGAGCAGCGGGATGATGTTAAGCGGTTAAGCGCAGTGGGTATGTCAATAAGTTTGAAAAGCCGAAAGGAGGCTGAGCGGCACCTTTTCGGTGGAGGGGCGTTTGATGATGATGAATTGGCTAGGGATTTGGACAATCTTCTTGAGTGCCCTGAGCCCCCAGTAGCAGATGATGCCGTGAGTGATGGGCTGGCCAGAGGAGGATAATTTGGAGTTGAAGTTTATAGAGGTCCCCTTAGTTCGGCTATTGAAGTCGAAACGACCGTATGAGGTTGCAGAAGCGGTTAGTTCCATAGCCAATGAGATGAAAAGGTATGGGTTCCCCCTGACCAGAATCCACACAGATTCAGGTACAGAATTCACCACGGGCCCCCCTGATGAGCGAGATTGGACTCTTACTCATGCTGGACCCAAGAACCCAAATCAGCCGGTAAAGCTGAAAATGCAGGTAGGAGGCTCAAGACCCAAACTCGCAAATATCAGGTGCAAGTTGGCAACAACAAGCGCCTTTGGCCCCTAGCATTTCAAGCCGCGGTGCATGCCTGGCGGTCTCAGACCTTCGAGCGAAATGCCGTCGGTGTCCTTAACCCCCAAGGAAAAGTCAAAGTCGCCACTAGGGTGTATAAGCCTGAGGTTTCCGAGTCTCCTGATGCTCATGATGTGGCCCTCCCGGAAGATGGAGCTAGGTTTCGCGAGGTCCCTGCTCCCGATAATGCGTCGTCGCTCCAAATGTCCTGGGATCCCTGCCAGCGAGTCGCTGAGGTCGCTGTCGACTCTTGTCCTGGGAGGCCCTAAGCCCTAAACCCGAAAGCCCTAAACGCTAAGTGCGTGAAGCCAAGCTCCCAGGCACAGGACCATCGGACATGCCGAGGCTGTTTTGCGTCGAGAAAAGGTTGGGCCCTGTTTGAGATCGTGGTGTTCCAGTAGCGAGCTCTCATCGTCAAGTGGGCATTCTCTAACTTCCTCAAGTGTTATCTTCATCTTTCAATTCACGTAGGTTATCAGCCGTAGGTCGAGCTGTGCAAAGGGCTGCAAGTTGGGATCATAGTAACACACGTGTGTTTGCCAGCTCATGGACTCGTTGACCCGGAAAAGGCGACCTGTCAAAGTCGGAGAGCCGGACGATAATGGTGCTGTCAGGGAGTCAGAATACCAAACAGCCTTGAGTCAACAGGGTGTCAGTGCGACTCCGTGGGTGGTGGTTCCCTAGCGGGGGAAGCTTCGCCAGGAACGCTGGAATCGGGAGAGGCCCTCAATGGTGGGGTCTTTGCGTTCCTGCCTGCTGCCAAAACATTTCATAGCGACCGAGTAAAGGCCGAGGTCGTCCTACAGAGAAGTCGGCCGTCACTGTTGGACGACGATGGTAGACGGCTACTTCCTGAAGTGAAGGAGGCAGCGCTAGGTGATGTTTTTGCTGGGTTTAAGCAGAACCGGACTAATTACTCGAAGTTCGGAATGAGTGCTGGTGGGGCCGAGGTCCCACGAGTGGCCCGAGTGGAAGCATATCAATGGAAAAGAGCAGATGTGGCCGTTTGCAAGGAATGTATACAGACCTATAGAGAGCGAGGCACTCCGTACCGATGCTGCCGGTGTCAGAGATGGCAAGCTGCTGAAGCGTTCCCCGGCAAGCTTGTGAATTTCCATGTGTGGCAAACGACGTGCCTCATGTGCACAGCAAAACGCCAATGTGGCACCTGCGACCACTGGTCGGGCGAATCTGCGTACACTGGGCGCGCCAAAAGAGACCGCGTCTGCTCGGGTTGCCGCGTCGCGCTGCACTTCCAACACATCGGGCTCCGGTCCCGCCGTCGTCTCCGTCGCCGCGTCGAGAAAACGCGCCAGGCACGACGGAAACGCGTCTTAGAGGCAGTGCGGCAGGAGATCGAAGCATGTCGAAAGAAGCGGCGAGTGCTGTGCGGTCGCTGTGGTGCAAAAATTGAGGCGACTACTACAGGCGGATTCGCACAAGATGTCGGCCCGACAAAGATAAGCGACATGACCTGCTATGACACTTGCCCAAGAATCAGCGAGGCGGCAAGCCGAGTAGCCTGGTATCGCTGGCCAGTCTCGCGCCCTTCACATATCACTGCCCCCTTTGCAACGCAACTGTAAACTCCACCGTACGAGACGGCAAAGTGGATAATCGTCGAACCTGTGGCCATCGGTTTGAAGTGAAACACGGGCGCGTAATCGCAGCAAATGCGAAGGAAATGAGTTACACATACCAATGTCCGCATTGCCAAGAAAAAGTCACTTCGACTATAGACAACGGTCGCATCGACAACCGACATCACTGTGGACACACATTTACGGTGGCTGCAGGCGCTGTAATTCCAGGAGATGAAGGGGACAAGAAATGCACATACGCATGTCCATACTGCGATGCAAGAGTCGATTCGACCATGGAGAACGGACGCATCGACAACCGACACCACTGTGGACACCGATTTAGCGTCGCAGCGGGCGCTGTGGTAGCAGTAGGTGGAGAGAACAAGAAATACGCGTACGCATGTCCGTACTGCGACGCGAAAGTGGAATCGACCAGGAAGACCGGACGCATCGACAACCGACACAACTGTAGTATAAGTACAAATGTCCGCATTGTGGAGCAAAGATCGTTTCGAGCAAAAGGGATGGACGAATAGGCAACCGACGACACTGCGGCCACGGATTTGCTGTGTCCGCCGGCAAAGTTGTCACGACTGCCGCCACTAACGAGCGCTAATGTGTTTATGGGATAAAGCGCTGGGAGTACGGGAGACAGT